GTGTGTGTGTGTGTGTGTGTGTGTGTGTGTCTGAGTGTTCTTGTGTTTGCACTTGTGAGCACTTTTCTGTGTTTGTTCTTGTTCTTGTAGAGGTCCAGATCGGTGGATATGAAACCGAGCCTCCACATGATATCAGTAAACATTCATTAAGTGCTCCCAGACTTCATGAGCACTGATCCCGTGTGTCCTTCTACTCTTTCCATCTTTAATTCATGGTGATTGTGAGTGACAACCCATTAGTCGGTAGCTACTGAAGACCACAGCGTGCTTCAGAGGGACTATTTCTGCACCACGGGCTGCGTTTGGTCAATTAGTTCCAAGCAGCAACTGTGTCAACAACAGGGGCGACTCTAGTCAGGCTGCCACAATCTATTTGGAGACGTTTTGGAGAAAAACTAAAAAAAAATGTTTGCATAAAGCTGCAAAGTCACCAACGGAAACAGAAATGTGCTAAAGCCGTTCTTTACATGCATGTGCTGCCTCAGCAACCTGACGCATCAGATGGTTGTTACACAGAACCATATGGGACGCTATGGCTGGAATATGTTGGAAAAATGGCCGACGTTTTCAGAAAACACTTGGCAGGTGAACCTTCTGACTTTAGCCGTCTGTCACGGGCTCCATGTGAAACACTGGTGGAGCTGCCAGTAACTCCTCACAGGCCTCTAACTGGAGCGATCACCAGCGCAGAGCGTCGAGATCTTGCAGTTCTCAAGAGAATCCAGCTGCCTCGCAAGACGGCTCCGATCAAACGGAGCCTGTGTGCAGTCTGCTGGTCAGTAATCAGACCCCCTGGTTCATGATTACATGGAGTCATGTTGTGTAACGATGAGGCTTTATTAAGTACTTTTCAAGAAATGACAACTTTAGAGTTTAACACCCTACATGGTTTATTTACGCTGTAGAATCCTCTTACTATTTCAAGTACCGAGGTTAAGACCCTACTATATTATGTACTAGACAAGTTTACCTGAGTACAGGAGCATGTACATACCTGCAGGCTCCAAGGCTGACACGGTATCCCGGACCTCGTCACATTCACGCTGCCTTGGTAGAAGCGACCTCTGTCGCTGTAGCACGTTGCTGTTGATACCAAACAGAACAGATGTTCTCTGTAATTCAGATGCTGTTTATAACGACTAACGTTTAATAAATGATGTGTTCATTCATGATGGATGCCTGATGACGAGATACAAACACATCTGTGATGCTCTTACTCGTAATCTGATCTTTCTTGATGTCTGAAATGTAGAAAAGAGCAGATTGAAAAAGTGAAACATCAAGAGGAAGAAAACTGAATGCAGCTCTGAGGGTCAGTTTGGTCCAGCTGAGATTATATTACAGAGGAAACACACACTATTATAGCGAGCATCACACACACACACACACACCTGCAGCTGTGTATCTTGGCTGCGTTCAGCTCAACCCTCCTAATGACCTCATCAGGATCAGTGACCTTTATTTGGCTTTATTTGGCCTCTGCACACTCAGGGAGCTGCAGCGAGCCAACGCCTGCTTTCTCTTACGTACGCTCCATTTACTGCCTCATGAGGGCTTTTTAAAAACTTTCAAGACTGACGTGGTCATGAAGCAGGTAAACGATGAAGTTAGAATCTTCCTAAATGCTTTGGGGAACGTCTTTCACAATGACAAGCAACATCCGTGACTGTACAGCTGCTTCCACCAACACGCTACCAGCAGACTTGTGTATGTTATCTGAGGGGTGATTCAGGATGAACGGCTCCAGACTGAATCACCGGGGTTCTTACCTACAAAAGGAACGTATGTACAAGCATCAGGGTCTGTGCGAAGACTGGGTAAGGCCTGACAGTTGGGCAGCAGTGAGTTTGGAGCGTGAGACCCAGTGATGGCGCTGAAGAGGCCGTGCTGCACTGAGCTGCTGCCCTCCAGCACCATCCACTCCTTATGGCAGTACAGCTCCTTCACCGCCAGGCAGTGCTCTCTGTTTAGTAGAGGAAAGAGAAGTGGTGATGCTCCCTGATTACGTCAATGACTTTATCATTTGTTAAACTCATTCACTGCTGCACAAAGCAAACAAGAAAAGAAGGACGTGGGAGTCCTGCTACCTGCACACAGGTTTGGGAGCAGGTCCTAAGCCCGATGGGTTGCAGTCGGGGAACGAGAAATGGCAAAGCAGTGATTGTACTGCAGGACTGCACAGCCCGCTGAGTCCTTCTAGCTCCGCCCACCAGCTCTGAACCAGGTACTCCTGCATGTCCTCTGGGTCCGAGTGGGAGGAGTTAAAGAAAACCAGCGAATCGTCGTGCAGAATTGTGCGGCAGACGTCTCCACGATACGCACTGCAGTAGCCAGCGACGCCCTTATAAAGTCTGTTGGAAGGAGAGACACGCATGAATGCTTGACCTGCTTTGTTTTCTCTAATTGTTATTTTTGGGGCTTTTTAAAAAGGTGTGTTAGAAGGTAATAGCATGGAGGTGCCAGGCAGCAAGGCAGAGAGAGAAAAGGTATGACTCGAAACAAAGCTCTGCTGTTGATGTTAGAAACCAGCGACAGAGTCAAATGACTGTGTAGACATCAGTGAGAGGAACATTTGTGGCTTATGAACCATTAATAACACCTTATTTATGTCAAGCACAGTGCATGCACCTGAGGGGACACGCACCTATAAAACCTCCTGGAAGTGTTAAATTAATTTGGCTGTTTAATAACGAAACAAGACAAACCTCACACGATCCTTTCATGACAAAGTGAAAACAGATTTTAATTTAAATGTAATTAATCAAACTATAGAGTGTAAAGTTGTGACTGGATCAGCGGTCAGGATGACTGACGCCCCGTTGAGCCGTCAGCCATCACATCTGGACCGTTCTCTGCAAACTGCTGCAGCTCTGTCACGTTGCACAAGGATCAAAAGTGAACGACCCTCTCACGTCCAGGCACAAATACTAAACTGGGTGAAGGTCTGTGCTCTGATTGGCCACTCCAGAACGTTGTCCTTGTTGCCTTCAGGACGTCTCTGTGGGGCGATGGCCGTACGTTTCAGGTCGTTGTCTTGCTGGAAAACAAGTCTTCTTTCAGGTCACAGCTCTCTCTCAGCCTGCATGAGGTGGTCCTCTGTGTTCCCCATGCTTTGCTGCATGCACTTTATCCTCTAGGGCCTCCGAGAACCATTCCCACATCATGATGCTGCCGCCGCCGTGCTTCGTGGTGGGCTCGGTGTGTTTCTAGGGATGTACATTGTTTGTCTGATGTCCAAAAAGCCCCATTTTGGTAACAGCAGAACAAAGAATCTTCCTCTTTGTTTCCCAAATGCCTTCTGGCAAACTGAGCATGAGCTTTTCAGAGCAGTGGCTTTCTCTTTGCCACTTTCTCATAAAGCTGACTTTTTAAGGCTCCAAGGGACGTTCAGTGACTTGGAGATGTTCTTGTATCCGTCCTCTGACTTGAAAGCCTTTTCACTCAGCGTTCTTTTGTCTTTGCAGCGTGGTTATGACCGGCAGTGCTGAGTCCTCACACCCGTAAAGGGGCTGAATACTTCTGCAAGCATTATTTTACCATTCATATGTTTAATTAATCAACATGGCTTTGCTTTGACATGGACGAGTCTGTCTTGGACCGTGATTTAATGTTGAAAAGCAACGAGAAAGAGAAAGGAGGGAGCTGAATGCTTTTTGTAGGCACTGTACCTACTGCACTGCCCTTTGCTGTACGACAACTGCCTGGATCTGCTTGTGTAGTGTGTGTGTGTGTGTTATCTTTATGTTCCAACAAAAAATAGAAAGAAAGAAAATAAAAGAAGTAGACGCTGACTTCAGGTCCCCAGAGCGTCAGCTTTTACTGCTGTGGCTGACAGGTCGTGAACATGTGAGGTGTGTCCGCTGAAGAAGTCATAAGAAATGGTCTTTCACCTGGAATATCTTCTTTAACATCATCCAGATGTTGCTGCTGAAGCAGGTTGGGGATGGTTTAGGTGAAGTGACATCCTGTCTGTGGGACTTCCTCCACAATGAGCAGCTCAGTCATACATGCTTGTGTACCAGACTGCCTCTGTTCCTGGTTCTCTCTGTTTCCTGCTCTTACGTCTGTTAGTCCTCCAGCATGAATATGATTCACATTTCTCTCTCTCTCTCTCTCTGACAGCCTCCACTCCAGCTCTGCCTCTCAGCACTGCAACACTTACAGACTCCAGATGTGGATCTTGGGGAGGTTGCTGCTCCAGTGGAGTCCAAGTCAAACCATCAAACCTAAAGGTGACCTGTAAATCTATCAACCCCACCTTTTCTTTATTTTCTCCCCTCCTTCCTCACCACATCCCTGTTTCTGTAATCCAGATGTGGTCACGAGTTGGCAGATAATGTTCTAAATCTCACCATTAAACCTGTTTATGACCTGCAGTCCCACGTCTCCGATGGACCTCGTTTCTCATCAGGCTGCCCGAGGCCCACTTTCTTTCTTCCTCCCTCTGTGTGTCTCCTCCTTCTGCCTTTCTCTACTGTATCTCTCTGTCTTTACATAGTCCAGATGTGGTAACAGTCGCTCTGTTGTGGTTCAGAAAGGTTCAAATTCAGCTCACACCATGTGAGTGATTGAAAGACAGGCTCCCTTTTGGCAGAACAACTCTGCTGGCAGAGCCAAACTGTATTCAGCCGACCCAGAAGAGCCTTTGGCAGCTCGGCTGTTCGCATAAAAAAATCAGTGGCAGGCAGTGAATTATGGGATTATTCCTATTTAAGGCTGCTCCAAAGGGTTAAAACATCTTTTTGTCAGTAGAGTCAAAGGATTATTCCACAGCAAATGTGATACATGCAAACAAACCAACAATGAATTTGTCTTACCTCCACTCTACGGGGAAGTGGCAATATCCACAGGACACCGGTGGAGTGAGCAAAAGAAGAAGGAGCGAGAAATACAAATTAGTCGCAGTGAGAAGAGAAATACAGCCATGATGCTTCTCTCTGCAACTCATAGCGAAGTGAAAGAAGACCACCAGGGCCAGTGTGTGTGGTCGGGGACGAGGCATGTCGGCCGGCGTCCTGAGGTGACTGGTCATGCTGTGTTTGTGGAGGGCCACCAAATGGGGACCCAACAGCTGAAGCCACACAACACAACCAGCACAACACAAGGCAGCAAGAGCAACACACACCTCGACAAGAGCTGCAAGTAACCATCAGCTTTTCTCTGAAGTTGCACTGAATCTGTATATTTGATGTGGAAGTTAAATGTTCACCTGCCACAGTGACTCTGGCCGTTGCTTTGACGGTGTTGGCTCCAGCGCTGTGTTTGTTGGAGGCCAGACAGGTGTACAGAGCCGGCTTGTTGACCGTCACTTTCAGAACAGACAGTATCACCTCTCCTACCATGGTCTCCTCCACTGATGCACCTACAATCTGGAAAAGCAGGGAAATGGTACCATGAGGACAAATCCCAACGAAAAGCTGTAGCATGTTCTTCTGGAGGTAGCTGTAGCTGTATCTGTGTGCTGTTAGTTGTTGGGGTTAACAGCACAAAGATGCTTACATGGCTCCCCTGGAGAACAGAGAACGGACCGGGTGACATGACCAAGTGCAGAGACACACTGAATTCACTATTTGCCTCATAGGATCAAACCTGGGCTTCCTTTCAGTCGGTCATGGTTAAAACATGTGTAATGATGCCTTCAGTGACTTCTCTGGAACCACTCTGGGACACCAGAGCATGAAGATGTGCTGGTTATGGCTCCACTGAGACAGCAATGTAGAGCTCAGGCTTTCAGAACAAAGATCTCAGATGAGCAGCCCAGCAGCAGGCAGCATGTAAACAGCAGGAGGACACGAGGAGCAGCCGAGCTCTTCATTCTAAGTGTTAGCACAACGTAAAGGAGTTATACAGAAATCAACCTCTGGTTAGTTGACCTGAATGAGGAACGGGCATAGAAAGACCAAACCCGGCTGTGAACGGGTCTGTTTGTGCTGGTAGCGGTGGCGTTTCAACATGGGGGTGGGACTGACTCACTCCTGCCTCATGTGGACTTTTAAGGAACTACAGCTTTTGGGACTTTTTTTTGGGGGGGGAGTTTTTATCGTCCAGAGGTCACCTCTTACTTTACCTGCTCTCTTTTCCAGAGGAGGGAGGAAATGCAGCCCTGATGGCCACAGACAGTTTACTTTTCCATCTACACCTGACTACACTGTGGGAATGCAAATGAACCATATCAGCAATATGTGGAAGGGCGAGTGAGCAGACGGGATTATAGGAACTTCTCCTCCCGGTGTCTAGACACTGTTCATACGCTGATTATCGTATAGTCGCGGCGTTGGGGTAATGAAATTAAATGTGTCTGTAAACGATTTGAACATTCCCCAGTATTCACACAACGTAAATGGAGCCCGACCAAATGCGTCTGTTGTTTTTAGGTTGTGCATTCACACTGACATGGTTTTAAATGATGTATGTCAGTGTGTGCAGTGTGTGTGTGAGCGGGTCAGTCAAGGTGCTGATATGTGACTATGTCTATATTTGAAGCTGCGTCTGACACCGCCTGTTTTTAGGACAAGCTCGATCCAGCCCCGCGGAAATTAATGAGCTCAACAAGCTGCCAGAAAAGCAGCTCCCACAGTCATTTTAATCAGCACACATACTATTTACAAGCATTCTGGGCCTGTAATCACATCGTAGCTCGCACCCAAGACCATTAAATAGGCAGACATGATGTGTATACGTCCACCGCAACAGCACGCGTAAAAATGTCTTGTTGAAAAAATGACTGATTCAACATTGAATAGGCTCTGTAGCATCTATTATTCTTTATTTTTCATCTACATTTAGTTCAGATTTCATGTGCTATTTAACAGCTTCACAACCTAAGAACTTTGGTCATACATGGTTTTCCTTTGACAGCATCATCAGAGCGCTCACTGCTTTCAAAACATCACTCCAATTAAAGCTGATAACAATGTGTATTATTATCCAAATGCAACCCAATCTCTTCAATCCTCTGCCACGATAATGAGAATTCCTCTGGTGTTTGTGCCGCTGATCCCATCTCTGAGCACGTTAACTGGCCTGAAGTACAGACACAGACACAGACAGCCAAGGGATAAGAGGCTAATTTCTTGTATATGCATTACAGTATCCCGGATTTATGCTACGCTGTGGTGTCATGCTTTCTATTTTTGCCTTTGCTCATGCTCACTCTGTCTCCCGACTCAAATTGTTTTGCTGATCAAGCCTCACGGACAGCAGATGAACAGGATATCAAAAACGCCACTCGTGTCTCGCTAAAACCACTTAAGAAGAGAACATATTGCTTCTGTAGGCCAAGAAGAGGGAGCACCGGGACGCTGTACATACATAAAGCTGGTGTGGATGCGCAGCTGCAGTTACAGTGTGTCTGACACCTCTGGACAGCTGGTCCTGGGTTTGATTCCAGATGTCCATTATAGGCTACCGTATTTACACAGAAACTGGAAGGCTGTGGTCATGTCTGCACGGTTAAAAAACATCCTCTGGCTTGACTGGATTTCTGTGAACCAATCAGACTTATGTTTGGCAGTGCCAAGCCCAGGATGCAGCAATGGTGCCCCTGCAACATGGTGCCAGGGGGACGGCTCTGGAGGAACTTTAGCACACAGGGAGGTGAGCTCTGTCATTAAACGACGAAGGTTGTGTCTGCATATTCCACACACGACTGCCAAGCATGTGTGTCCGTGTTTCACTAATTCTGAATTAGTGGCCAAAGTGGGCAATAAATACAACTAACTACTAGATGAGGATGTCTAAGTTCTTCTGGATGTCTCAGTGGGGACATCGATGCTTGTAGATTACTCCACTGGTCAGTATCGACATGCACATTTTATACATAAAGCTTGATGTGATTATCTTATCATAACAGACTTTCTTGGCCCTCCACTCTATTATTGTCACTGCTTTGTCATTATGTAAGGCTCTGCAGCTGACAATGCGTCACAATTTTAGCTACGTGCTAACATTTCTCTGATGCTTGCTGTGTTGGCTGACATTTGAGCCAAACTCAACCACTGTGGAGGGACGACAAGAATATTCTGGTAAGATCAAAAGCTGTTATGTGAGGCCAGGAGGACCAGGAACATGGGTGGATGGATGGATGGATGGATGGATGGATGGATGGATGGATGGATGGATGGATGGATGGATGGATGGATGGATGGATGGATGAATGGATGGATGGATGGAAATTGGATTTGATTGCAAACATGTAAGAACAGAACGCAAGTCTGGGATCAGTGAATTCAGCTGAAAAATATTAGCGTCAGCCGTGGCCCTTCTAGAAACCCGTTTTGGGACATTCTAGCATGCACAAGCACAACCACGCACTGAATCTGAACACTCACAGTATTCCCATTTTCCAGCCAGGTGATGGTGGGGATCGGATTTCCTGTGGCGTTGCACTCCAGGGAAATCTGGCTACCATACGTAACTCTCCTCTCCTTTGGAACCCGCAGGATTCGAGCTGGAGCTGGACACATGGACACAAAGGTATGAACTCATGGACAAACATAGCCACACCGTAATCAATAGCTTACTGAATTTAAACTTCTGAAAGTGTATGTATATATATTTATGTGTGTGTGTGTACATTTAAGAATAGAAACTACTTTAAAGTACATACCCTGTACCTCTATGGTGACAGGCTTTGAAAAGGCCAAGCCGAAGCTATTCCTGGCTACACAGCGATACTGTCCTGCATCCTCCTTCTGGATGTTATGGATTTTCAGTGCACCATAGTCCAGGATGGTAACCCGGTCGCTGATCTGGAAGAGACAGGGCTGAGATCTAAGAATAATAACAATATTTCTTCTCCAAGGCAATGAGAAATAAGAAACCAGGCCACAAAGGGCCATTTGGGGTTTTATGTGGTGGTGTTCTCCAGTTTATTTGCCTTTGGAGCCTTTGAAGTGGATGTCAGGCAGACACAGAACGACACTAAACTCTCAGACAATTGTTATTTACCAGTCTGTGAAAAGCTTCATGCAGCTGGATAGTCTCTGAAACCCCTCAGCATACCTTGATAAGCTCATCGTCCTTGAGCCAGGTGACATCCGGCTTAGGGTTGCCGAGGGTAACACATGGCAGCACCGCTTTGGATTCTACGAGAAGGGTCACGTTGGTAGGATGGCGTTTGATCTGTGGCTCTGATGGAGGGACAGACAAGGAACGACACTCAACACAACGCTTTAGATTTTAGTTTAAATTGGATTGCTTCAGAATCTGAACTAAAACAGACTGTAGCCCCACAAGTCTGGAACAAGAAGACATACTCATCTTCAGCTGAAGGGCTCCACAGCTCTTGGCAGGCTCTCCAATGCCGTTACTGGCAAGGCAGCAGTACTCTCCGTTATCGGTCTCTCTCACATGAGGGACGACGAGCATCTGGCCCTGTTCTCTGAGAAGGTAGCGGGCGTCATAGTACCTGATGGGATCAAAGGGATGTGCAAAGAAAAGAGGTTCTGATCATGAGCAGAAGTGACCAAATGATGTCTGCTACCCTTTGCAGAGACATGCTGTGACGGCCAAACATCACTATTAACAGTTAATTATTCGTATTGTTAGCCCTACAAAGACCTGTGAGATGTGATATATATATATATATATATATATATATATATAAAATAGTCGTTAATGTCAAGCAGCTCCATTTAGACTCTTTACCATCTGTTTGTATGAGATGAACTGAGAATTATATTCGTATCTAATAACGACTAGATTTTATGTTAGCCTTGTAATGGCCATAAAGTTTAACTTTAGCTCTGCAGCCACCAGCTCGTGTTTGTTACCAGTCTGGTTTTACAGGAGTGCACCAGCAGTGGGCGCTGGTTTTAATATTTTTCACCCTCCGCTGTCATGTGAATAATAAATGTGTCGTCATTGAACTGAGAGAAGGACTCTTTATGCAGTTCACTTCGTACATCAGCACAGGTCCTGCTTCTGTTGGACCGCTTCAGTCTGATAATGTTTGATAATTGTCCAGATGTCCTACATGGATGTTTTCTAACAAAATAAGAACTGTAGGTGTTGTTGAGTGGAACCCAGAAGCAGCCCAGTCTGCCCCGGCTGCAGACAGCCAGACGGATCATGGAGACACCACTAATGTTACCGGCTGCTAAGTCATGATGAAGTCTGCAGCCAAAGTTAGCCTGCTGCTCTCATGTTTAGCACCTACTGCTGACTCGCCCCCACCCTCGGCCTGCAGCTCCAACAAGTGCCAGACCACCTGTGCAGGTGTGTCTAAATAAATGGCAGACTGGTCCTGCAGTTCCTGCGACTTTCCTTTGGTCCTGATTTAACCATCTTTGGGAAGAGACCAGACATTCCTCTATGCATAAAAGCTAGTGCTACATGAAGTCCTGAGCTGCTCCCACAGAGCTTCAGCAGAGGCGGGACACTTACATGATGGGGTGGTTGTTCTTGGTCCAGGTGACATCAGCCGGTGGACGAGACTCCACCTCACAGATGAAGGTGGCGTTGTGATCCAGGAGCACATCCACTGTCTCCAGTAAGGTGATGATGCGAGGCGCTGGGCAGCACACATATACAGACAACACTTAGTTTAAAGCAGCACTTCTGACATATTCAATAAAATTAAACAAGAATCTGAAGGATCTCGTTCAGCCTTTGAATGAATGCCCCAAATGCAGATGTGTTCACAAAACAAGGAATGAACTACGGACATGATCACTGACACACATTTTTCTAGAATAGAAGATAGGGTCTAAAAATAAAGCCAGTAGTTTCAACATGTGACACCTGAGAAGTGAGACAGCTGCAGGGTTCCAGCCCCATTCTTTGGCATTCTGAGCATTCCTCTTTGAGCCTGAGTTCATCTGTGTTAGTCCGTCAGCAGCAGCATCCCTCTGCTGACTGACTGACTCATCAGAGGCTTCTGTCACAGCAGGCAGAGAAACGGTGACATTCAGGAGGCAGGGATAGAAGTTGGGTTAGCATCCTGAGGACTGCAGATAGCAGTGAAGCTTTGTTTTCATTCAAACAGAAGTTCATACATGACAGCATGGTGCTTTGGGCCCAGTGCATGAACTGGTTTCCACGATCTCCTTTCAACAGATGGTCTTTGTTACAGGGAACGTAGATGAATAAACCAGTTCTGCGTAGACTGATTGTGCAGATTAAAAGAAATACCAGTTGTTTGTGAGGCATAAGTCAGTGAAGAGGTGGTTGATATTTATCTCATCGACATACTCAGCTTTAATCACGGAGGGAAAATGAGAAGAAGGATTAAATTCAAACAAGTGGGACGAGGGGAAATGGTCTCATATCTGTGTTTGGCTCTGGGTGAATATATGGAGGAGTAGAAAACAAAAAGTGGGGAGTAAGAGCAAAGAAAAGCAGGGAGAGGAGATGGAAGAAGATAGCGGCGGCCGCACAGTCGTGAGGCTGTTTGTGTGGATTCAGATCAGAGACATCGGGTTGCTTTAAACTTTGAGTGAACTGAGGAGAGGAAGAGACGAAATAGAAAACAGAGGAGGGAAGGAAAGGAGGCAACAAGCAAAGCAGGAGGCCAGAGAGGAAAGGACGAGTCTGTAGAGGACACTGCAGCTTCTTCTGTCTCCTGTCACACAAAGATTTCACAACAACGGCCACCAGAGCTGGAGGCCATCACTGCTGTGTGACTCATGAGCAGCTGATGAGGAGAAGAAGTCCCAATAAATCCCAGTGAGCCTGACACCAGGGTTCAGCTTCATCCAGGGTCAAAGACCAGGCTGACATTATGGTCCCTGTGTCTGCTTTACGGGTTGCTTCATGTGTGGAGTCGTATTTTAGCCTCTCTGGCTCTTCACTGTGGGATCATGCACACAACCAGAGGATGGATCCTGATGGCTTCCTCTACCTGCCTGCTCATGGCCGCTCATCAAGCTGCTCATCGCTGCTCATCCAGCTGCTCATCCAGCTGCTCATCCAGCTGCTCATCGCTGCTCATCCAGCTGTTGCATCACTCCAACAGCTGACAGATTGGACTAAAAGTATTTCCCTGAAGAAGGTTCAGAGGAATGGTTCTGTTTAACACGTCTTGTGCTGATTTCTATGTACAGGATCACTCGTGGTCAGTTTTGGCCACGTGAGCAGAAATGTTTTCTTCCTGCCAGGACGCTGAGTGAACACATGGAAGCATCTGAAGAGCCAAGAAGCATGAGTCAGCAAGTTAGAGACCCGCTGGACCCGACCTCCATCACAGGTTCTAGTTCTGAAAAGGTCCGGGCACGTTGTAACACACACACACAGTAACACAC